TTTGATGAAAGCATTTTTCAATTTTGTTATAATTAAGTTCCGTGAATATTCACAAAGTGTACTTAGAAAATAGTCAGCCTTCATTGAAAAACACGAGGATAAGCCGATACATGAACATTCACTAAAGCATCAGTAGCCCTACTCACGATGAAATTAATTTGCATTATTGTTATACATTGTTTAAGAGAATATACGTAATTAGGTAATAAGATCTCAGTCTACATCGTATAGGATAAGGAAAGAATTTTATTGTTCGAATTAAGTATCGTTTTCGTGACTACCAGTAAATCAGTAGTATGAGATGTATTCATCCAATTTCGCTTAAGGTGATGAAGGACTGGTAGAAGGAGAATTTCCCCACAATTCAATGTAAGCGTCAGCTCAAATCACATAATTGTGGGAAAATTCTTCTTCTACAAGTCCTTCACCAACTTAAACAAAATTGGGTGAATAAATCTCAGGAAGATTTAAGATAGCAAAAGTTGCGTTTAAGTCAGCCAACAGCAAAGAAAAGCTTACCTGTCAGTTTGACCCCATGAACTCAGCGTTGGTAGCCGATGGTGGGGATGCAAAAAGACAATTTGATGCACAGGCTGCTGGAAAGAGTTCGGTTGTCGGGGCCGACCAGAATGGGTTTCGAAATGCGCCAATGACGAGTGTAACCTTTTATTTGATCGCAAGTATTGCTTGTTTTAAAACAATTTGTTGTGTCACGGACGTGTCAAAGATGGCTGGGCGTCTTGAACCTGAGGTTGACAACTTTTCAAACCCCATTTTCTAATAGTTACTATCACTAAAGTGATAGACTCTCTTCAATTTCGATTCATTTTCAATAGCAAAACAATGATATACGTTCATTTTGCGCCAGGACTGTGGCTGACGACAATATGTTGTCGCCTTAGAAACCCTATTTGAGGAGGATTTTTGTCCCTTCTCCTGCTGCCCCAAAGGCAAGAAAGTGGCTGTCCAAATTGACCAATACACCATCAATTGCATAGCTCGAGTAACTACAAGCTTTTCTAATCGGCCTAATGATGAAATTTATTTTTATGACGGTACCAAAATGTCCACAATATCAACGTTTTCCTTGTATCCTCTTCCAGGTGAACTCGTCAGTCGTGCATGCATTCCGGGTGTGTTGAGCAAAGACTTCAATCCAGACGGCTTGAATCGCATAAATCTTTGCGAAATGTGCCAGTCAGGCGGTTCCGATAAATGCCAACGCGACAATAAAGAATTCTATTACGGTGACTCCGGAGCATTTCGCTGCCTAATTGAGTCGGGAGATATTGCGTTTGTGAGGCATACGACGGTGCATGCAGACACGGCGACCAGGTTAGTGCATTGCATGTGTTTTACACTCAGCGAAGTGTTGGAGTCATGTAAAAATGCTTAAAATTATACTTTATTCAGTGAGTCTAGCAATAAACAATCAATGTTTATGGTAAGGTTTGCAATAGCATGTGAACTTTATTTTAATTGTACGTCTGAAATGAAGAAAATTAGAGAGATATTGTAATTAAGAATATAATTTCCATATAATGGCTTTAATCTGCCCTATTGCTATTTTCTCACCAATTTCGTGTTCATTCACTAACTATTGAGAAACTAGACGTGCTTGTAGGGTTTCGAGACTATCAGTAAATCATATATATGAGATATGTTCACTCTACTTCATTTAAGATGATAAAGGACTGGTAGATGAATATTTTCACAATGATATGAGTAGACCTAGCGTTTCCAAAAAAGTGCACATAGTTTTGCGTCCCAAGGGATGAGAATACCGTTTGGTAAACAAGAGTATTTTAAATTTACTGTAAACGTTAGGTCTACTCATATCATTGTGGGAATTTTCAACCACTACTTCCCTCATCACTTTAAACACACTTAACATTCAGGGTACAAAACTACGAAGTATAACTTATTATTATTTTCGTAGAAATGAATACCAAGATGGTGTGGTCTTCGATTTTGTTGCATTCTCCCTTAGCTCTATACAGTTAATTCGAGCACGTTTCCGCAACCCGGTCGGAGCGTCAGAAGAGAATAGTGTGAGCACAGAATGGTGTGAATGGGCAAATGGGACATATGAAATGAAGTTGAAATAAAGAGGTGCAGCACTAGAGTGTAGGACAAAGTCTAGGAGCGAGGAGTGACGCCAGAACAGTTGAACGGAAAATGGATCATTTGTCACTTTGAGAGGTTGCAATTCTGACCGAATGATGGCGCCTTTATTGACGGTGCCAGCGAAGCATTTAAGAATGCATCAAGTCAATGTTCCGATGCTTGAAATCACGATTATTATGACAAAAAAACGTGGAATTAGCCATGGTCCACAAGGTCTTCCTGACGCTCCGATTAAATCACGAAAGCAAGATCGAAGCAACACTAGAATTATTTTCTTTTTCAACTAGGCTTTAGAAGATATCTGCATATCTTGAAAAAGAATTGTGTTGTGATGAAGGATTGGTCATAGAATTGTACCACACGAGTATGAATAGCCCTCACGTTTCCATTGGATTTCACACATGGCATTGCTTTTCAGAAGACCTTCCTATCCCGGCTGGAATGGACTACAGATTCGACCTCACCTTTGTCTTATCAGCATCCCCGCGGGACTCGAACCCAGGTTACTGTAGTGCTGCGTATAATCTCGTCACATTAACTACTTTAATATAATGCCAGGAATGCCTTCACATAACAGAGTAGAATCGAATATTAAGCAAGACTAGGCCTATCCGCATAACTTTCTCCTGTGGGGTTGTTGATGAAGCAAATCGGTATTTGCAGTAGACATCGACTACACTACTTATTTTCGTTTAAAGTAGTCTATTTATATTAACAGTAAATCGTGAATAAGAATTGTATTTCTCCTTAGGAGCTATTTCTGAAGGCCTTAGAAGCGCGTACACTGCCGCAACACCAAGCGGAGAGCCTAGGCTCTGATTGCCATGCTTGCAGACGGGTCGTCGCCCTGATTAAACCCGTGTTACTTATGCGGACTTTGGACGCCCATTCCTGGTTGCCTGCGGCATCTTAAGTGGATTT